TTTTCTCTTTGGATTATTTGTTTTATGTTATCATATTTTAGTTTTTTTGATAATTTTAAAAATTTAGAAAAAGAGTATTTGAAAGACTAAACTGCTAAACGAGACTCAATTGGAAACTGACAAATAGGCAAAGTAGATAAGAAAGAGAAAGCAAAAGTTGCAAAAAAATATCTAATTCAAAAATTATAACAACTGGCTAATTAGATTATTTTTAAATCAGTGAAACCGACAATATGGAGACAACAATAGTGAGTATCGAAATAAGAAGAATGAGCTTGAGTGACATGAGAAGAATGAACTTGAGTAACATGAGAAGAATGAACTTGAGTGACATGAGAAGAATAACTTTGAGTGACATGAGAAGAATGAGTTTAAGTGATATAATTTTGCAAAAAGTATGAGATTTTTTAAAAATATTTGTATGAAAAAATATACTGATATAACTAATGTTTCAAAAGCTGCTAGCAGGTTCAAAGTAAGTGATGCTGCAACATCTGCCCTAGCAACTGCTACTTTAATTGACTATCAAGTTGTAACTTAAAATGACAGATCTCAAATTATCCCTAAAAAAAAATTTTATTTGATAGAAAAAAGCATATTTCAATTTTAATTGGTAATAAAATGTTTATTAAAAATGTTTAGTACAGAGGTTTTCCACTTGATGTTTTCTAATAAATGTACTTCCCTATAAAACTTTGAGGTATGATAAGTATTCAATTACGCATCAGTGCATTAGTGAATGGAATCGATGCCTTGTGTGCATTGTGAATGTATTTGAAAAGTTAAAACTTTAAAATAATTTATCTTCATTTCTTTATTTAAAACAAAATAAATTTAAACAAATTCTAAAATTTATTTTAATTTTTTATCATTATGAACTTTCTTTAATTTTCTTCTTTTTTTTCTTACTACTTCTATGGAAACTTTATTTTTTTTATCATTAATATTTGTTACTTTCATTACTGTTGTTTTCATTATTACTATTATTATTACAGTTATTATGAAATAATATTATTTTTGCTGTTAACTTTGCTCTTTATTAATGAATAAAGTTATTACAATTATTATTTTTTAAATTAATATTATTAATAATATTAAAATATTATTAATATAATTGTTTAGTGCCACTCCTTTGATCAGAAATCTGCATGAGTGACTCCTTCCTCAACAAATTATTTATATTTTTTCTTAATAATTTTATTTTGATTTTATTGTTTATAATATTATAGATATTCTTTTTATTATTATTATTATTAATGTTATTATTATTATTAATATATCATTGTTATTATATGATTGTAAATTTTGGGGAAGATAAACATCTTGTTGTTGTTGTTGTTGTTGTTGTTGTTGTTGTTGTTGTTGTTGTTGTTGTTGTTGTTGTTGTTGTTGTTGTTATTGTTGTTGTTTTTGTTGAAAGTTATTAGAATAACAAAAAAGACAAAATAACATTAGGTAATACATTGGGATAATTTTGCTAAACCTATTAGGGGAGAACTTGCACCCTTGATTCGTAAGCACCTTTTATCCTACGTATTTCAATTGCCTTTAGCAGCCAAATAACAAAACCAACAAGCGTTCATTCAATTAAAGCTATAGAATACTATATAAAGTATATTTTAGAATACAAGCACGTTTGTATATTCACAGAAACATTTATTTCGTTACATGCATTATTTTATTATATAAATAATAAATACTAATAAAGTAAACAACATCTTGAATTCCAACTAAAATTAAAACTATGCAATTGCAATTTATAGTTAGTCAAAAATTGGAACTTCTCTGAGTATATCACGAATCCAATTAGAAAAGCATTGCTCTTAAATTTAATTTTCTCAAACTACTTATCAAAGGGTCAGAAAAACACATTAGCCTTGATAATTTTTTATTTGTTTTTGACCGCAAACACTTTCTGGAAAATGGTTCAAAAAACTTCTTTAAGTTTTTATTTTGAGCTTCTTGTGCCTCTTCACTAAGCATGCCATAAGGCAAAGTAATAATCTCTCTATAACTTGCCAACCATGAATAAGAATGCAATGCAAACAATGTGACATATAATATCAGGGATATAGATTCTTTAAATAGTAAAGAATCAATTAGAAAGCTAGATGATTATGTACACAAAATAAAATGTAACATCTTTATCATACTGACACTAAGTTTAAGAATTTGAGTAAACTTTTCTGCATTCTCAAAAAATCTTCTAGCAGTGTGAACCATTGCAATACAAAATATGCTTACCATTAGTTAAAATGTCAGCAATATTACAAGCAATAACAATTTTCTTTCCCCAAGAAATTTGACAACAACAGCCTTTATTATTTTCAACTATTAACTATTGAAGAAATAAGTAAAGTAGTTATTATTAGTTTATACTATTTTAATTTTACAAATAGTATATTTAACATTTTTTAATACTTGCAATACAAAATTAATGTTAAAAACAGTAATAATAAACAAACAGGTCAGATGGTAAGAGGTAAACACCATTATTAACGTGAGTTAAACACGATATTTATATTACATCATTATAATGATGTCACTATGATGTAATATAAATACATCATAATGATTTCATTATGATGCAATAAACTATTTATACTACATCATAATGACGTAATATTATTGAATCAATGTTTTGTTATGATGCAATGTGCAAATATGCACCTACGCTAGCTTAAGTATCTTTTTCTTTGGCATATTCCCTAAATAAAGTTGTTGAACGGTTATTATTTTATCAACATTGTTGTTAGGTTATAATTATCGTACCAACACTTAGCATTAGTATTTCTTTCTTAACATATTTCCTGAATAAAGTTATTGAACGGTTATTATTTTATCAACATTGTCGTTAAGTTACAACGTTTATTTTGAATAATCTGAATAAATTAAAGACTACGGTCATAGTCAGTTATAACAAATACTATTTAGATAAGCAATTAATTTAATTATTGGTTGTACAAATCTTGGATTTACAGTTTTTCCAGATCCATTTGGGTCTGCTTTTGTGAAGAAGTAAATCTTTTTATTACGGATACCTGCTGTCTTAGTTTAAAAAAAATAAATTTAAAATGGACTCAAGTCGAAAATTTAGCAATCGATACTTCTCTATGTTGTCAGTTACATCCTCAAGCTTTAGAAACAAATCAAAAGTTTAACCAGAACAATTTATGTAGTCTTTTGGTTAATGTTGGTGTTTCAAAAGAGACAAAATGTTTTCCCCTGCAAATAAACTTAACAATAGACATAATGCCTTGGAGGTATTTTAACGTATGCCTTTTTTGGAACAATTATTTCTTGTTTTGTGTATATATATATATATATATATGTATATATATATATACATTTATTTATATTTATATATATACAATTTCTTTCGTAGAAGACTAGAAAGTCTCATCATAGACTAAATCTTTAAATGGTCAAATAAAATTTAGTTGAAAAATATATACAATTCGCGAGGTTAGAATTATTTTGTTCTATCTCCACTTTTTGAAAAAAATGAGTTATTAATTGTGCCATGTACCTAAAAATATTGTTTTTCTACTATATTAAAACCTAAGTTAAAATCAAAAAAGTTTCGGAGAAATCATAATTAATAAAAATCTTTTTATATGCCGTCTCCTAAAGTTTTTGTTTTTTAAATCGTTTTATCTCGAAACAAAAAAACGTGGAGATAGAACAAAATAATTCTAACCTCGCGAATTGTAAGTGGTTAATAATATGCAGACAAAGATACACTTAAACGTTTTAGTAACTGATTTTCTATTTCTTGGCTTAATAGATAATAGCGAGAAATGTGTAATTTTTTTAAAACAATGTAAAGTTCATCTTGTGATATATCTATCGTATTAAAGTCCATGATTGTATTAGAGCATGAATAGTTGATTTTAGTAGATGTTGATTTGGTAAACATTTATTGCATTCAAGGTTTTTAGTAATGGTTTAACAAAAGTTAATCTTTATTATAAACTAACCTTGACATATTTTACTCTTTAAACAGTTTTGCATGTAAAAAAAAAAAGCTTGCTTTGGAAGTAATTATATAAAGTTTAAAAATGCAACAACACAAAGTGCATATTATCGCATATAAGTATAAGTTCATATTATCGCAAGTAAATGGTTTATACTGTCGCTATAGACACATTTTTTTACCATAAAGTTTTTGCTAAGCTTATCTATAGTTAAAATGATGGTGAATAAATATTTTCTTGTCTTTTACATCCATACCCAACCTAACTTTATTTAAATTGCGGCTTGCGTTGTCAAAGTGGAAATTTTTTAGTTGTTTTTTGTTTTAAAACAATGAACGACATTAGCAGAATTAGAAACTGAAGTGTTTAAAATATCGTGAATTTGTCCTCGAGTATTATTAGCCTTGTATTTTTCATTTCAATTAACTTTCTGTACTGCAAAAACACATTTATTAGATTCACGAAGTATTTTAATTTTGCACAATATTATTATCAATAATCTGCATATTTTGTTAATAATGATTATAGCTTTTCTAAAGTTCTAAAAAAATCATAGCTATTTAAACCTATTATTATTATTTTTTTTTTAAGTTATTACAATTGAAGGTTTCCCTAAATGAGCTAAGACTTTTTTTTCCAAAATTGAGTTTTTTCAACAATCCGATTCCTTATTAAAAAATGTACAAATCATCTTTGTTAACGATTACAAAATTGATTAAAAAATACTTCGCCAGATAATCTTTTGTTTTTTACTTTTCTTAAAATTATAAAACTTTTAGAAAAACGCTCTTCAATTTTATTTTTATTAACATATTTTTGCAACAAAGTGTTTTTAATCTAAAATAACTTTTACATAAAATATTTTAAATGTTTAAGTATAACTTCCATTTTTAATAACCTTATTATTTTTAAAAGTATTAAATTTTGAAACGATTATCAGTTCAGAAGAAGAACTTATGAAACTCATTGCTGGAAATTTTATTCAAGCAATTCTATCTGCACTTTAAAAAAAAGTAATATAAAGACATAAAAAAGTGATTTATTGCAAAGAAGGAGACATTTAAACAAGTTGTTATTTTACTAGGTCACGTTACGGAGACGACGGCATTGTAATGTTCTCCCAAACCATATTGATGTCTATGATAACTATGAAAAAAATGTAAATTAAAAATTTTCTGATTTTCTGAATTTTATTGCTACCAAAGTATATAATAAGTAAATTAAATGAACTTTACTTACGATAAACGAATCGGTTGCTTATCAAATTCTTCACCAATCATTAAAGGAGGATTTGATGCTTGAAGTATTTCTATTGGTTGTTTATAAATCTGAGAAATCGCTCTTAGCTAAATGAAAAAGTACGCAATTTAACTAAAAAATCAAAAACCATAATTCATCTAATTTAAAATTTCTTATGCGGATGATTTATTGTTAATACTTTATAATCCTTTAACCCTTTAATCGGCACCATTTATTTTTAGACTAAATAATGTTTAAAAAAGTCATTAAAAAAACAATATATGTAAGACAACATGTTGGAAATACTTTAAAATATATATTTTTATATTAGGAGTCTTTCATTAAATAGTAGAGTTAAAAACATGGTGCAGCACATAACCCTACATCACAAGGGGTGCACTCTTAACGAGAATATTTTCTTGGGCCCTTCTTAATGCATAAAATACACCTCCGTTGAGGGGCAGATACTGATTTTTTTTCTGGTACATACGATGGAAAATGACGATGCATTAATCGCATTGGATTACCATCAAGACTTGGTCTCCCACCCTGTCCTGATATTACTATGTCATAACCATAAAAAGAAAATTAAGTACTAAGAAGTTCTATTCTGAAAGGCTTCAGTTTATCCCCTAACATTTTGTGAATAACTTGTGCGTTAAATATGGAAAGATTAATGAGATGGAAATAAAACTTCATATACCACTTTCTCCATTTTTTAACATGCGTAGGAGATAGTCATTTGATCAATTAAGATCAATGCCACCCATATTGCTGTTGTAAATTTAAATAGCAGTTGGTACTTCTTTCCCTACACCTTTACGTAAGACTATTTCTGTGGTACCTGGTATGCAGGTGGTCATTATGTAAACATGTTTATCCTTCCAATGCATTACCATGAATTAATATCCATGCTGATATACAATGGATCTTTCGCTTGATTTCAATTTTGCATTTATAACATCTTTTATTAGATATTTTCTGTTGCTTCGTTATGTTCCAATAACATCAGTTTTTCTTTGAACTAAAAAATCACAAACATCAAATGAGGTGTACCAATTATCAAGGTATATGCACCGTCCAACATCTAAAAAGTTCCTCAGATAATGACATCACTACATCAGCGGCTAGATATTTGTATTGATGAGAAATTGCTGTGCCAGCACCAAGGTAAATGATTTGATTCCAGATATAGCCTGTTTTATCACATGCCGAGGTTTTAATACCAAAGCATGCACTTTTTAATTGTATTGATTGTTTAAAACTAAGCCGCCCTTTTCACAAAAGTAATGATTCATCAATGGATATATCACGTCCTGGTTGTAACATAATTTTCCAGCGACTAACAATGTACTCCTGAATGAATTTAATTTTTATTTTTTTGTATAGCTCTTGTCTAACAAACTGGAACTTTTTACCAATCTCTTTGGTAAAATAATTAATCTAAGAAATCTCTTTGGTAAAATAATTTATTTTGTGATTGAATACTTTCGAAGCCTGGTGTTTTAAACAGTTTGCTTTTAGTATAGTGTATACATAATTTAGGCTTATTAATTATAACACAGTAGACCATCAATGCAAAAAGAAGGAGTATGTCACAAAATAAATATAGCTCCATTATTGATGAATTTGAATATAGGAGAGCTTATTTAAAATATTTTAATTTCTGTCATATGGTTAAAGTATATGTTAGTTTGATCAGCAATGTACTCACAACGTTCATTTGTAATAGTATATTTAAATAATTCAAAGGTCTAAGTTTTTTATATGTTCATTGATTTTTTTTTTCAGAAATGAAATGAATACGTCTCATTCCTTCTTTAGGAGGTTCTTATAGCCAATTTAAATCCTCATAACAATTACCTCTTTTTAGAGCATGAGCTTTTGATCTATTTTTGATATCTTGCTTAATTGATAGAATATTCTTAGAAATATTATCAACAACTGCACTGTTATCCCTCAAACATATTTCTTTATCTGTCTCTGATTCGATTAAAAACTCTATTTCACTGCCAGATAAGAATTCTTTTAACGAAGAAAAATCAGATGCTTCTTCCAAAACAAAATTTACAACATCTTGGACAGAACTTGATTGTTGTTTATCAGCCATATCTTTTTTTTCATAAACACAAGTTGTATTTATTAGTTCTATAGAATATTCAAGAATTGTAAAATCAAGGTTTGAAGGGTGTATGACTAATTTTGAGGTGTTACAAACCCTGCAAGTAACACCTTATCTTTGTGTGTATTGTAATGAAGGTACTGCTTAACGCATAAAAAGATTCTTTATATTATTATGGCGTTTATGGCATAAAGGGTTAAAACTAGTAAAGGTTAAGTACACAGAAAGTGAAGAAATGCTAAATCAACCCAAGTTTACAGACTAATGTTTCAGCAGCTCAATTTGTATCCAGAAAAAAGGCACCGTTTTTAGAATGGATTGGATATGAGGTTTTTAGAATGGATTGGATATATGGTTCAGAGTTCAGATATAAATAAGATACTTCAAAAGACGCAAAGTAGAAGTTTCTTTAAGAGCATTGTCACTTGTTACCATAGAAATATGGTAACAAGTATTACCTTGTGGTACCCCAGAGGTTACCGGGAGTGAATGGGAGTGCTATCCATAAAAAACAATTTTAAAACTGTGATTAAAAAAGAAGTTTCAATAATTTTAAAAGTTTTCCAGATGACTTTCCACTATCAAAACAAGAGACATGTTCCAGTAAAAATTTACAAAAAAATTATTACAATAGGATATAATAAAAAAAGAAAAAAAAAACAAAGGGTAGAGTGAAACTTAAACATAAACTAATCTAAAGACATATAAGTCTCCTTGGCTCCCTGATTCTAACAGATATGTAAAATAACTTTCAGAAACAAAGACAACAATTCATGCCTAGAAAGTATTATATATGGCAATGCAGGATAAAAAAGTCATTTCTTTATTATAGTGATAAATTATTTAAAAAAATTGCTAACCTCTAATTGGCCGCCCCACAAATTTGTATATCTAATATCATGACAATACTTTGTATACTCATCTAAAGTAAAATAACTTAAAATTAAAAAAATCTATAAATTGAAAAAAAACCTCAACCTCCTGTTTTAAAGATATAACTAAAGTTGTTTTTACAATAAAAAATTTAAACAATGAATAATGCTGAACAGTTGCCTCCAAAAAAAACATTTTGTTAATTTTTAAAATACTATATATATATATATATATATATATATATATATATATATATATATATATATATATATATATATATATATATATATATATATATATATATATATATATGGGCAATTCCATTTTTAACTTGGTTATACACGCATTACATACACAACTTTATTAAATATTTGCCTATTTAAACTGTAAATTAAACTTTTAGCTATTTTGTATGAAAGCTATCTAAAGAATAAAATAAGCTTAAAAGGTTTAAGATTAGCCAAAAGAGGGCAAACTTATTACTGAAAATGCCACTTACGCTACACGGAAAACAAGGTAAAAAATTTGCTTCAACTTTTAGGTATGATTTCTGTGAATCGTAAAGCAGCTTGTATTAGACACTTTCACAAAATGTTAAGAATTCTATGCCAATTTAAAAAATATATAAAACTTTACCAGAGGTGATCGGCTAAGGAAAATAAATTTATTTTTTTGATACTATATATTTAACTTATGTTACATCACTTACGTTAGTGAGCGATATTTATCGCGGATTTTTTTACATCTATTATTAAGAGTTCGATTTATCTAACAAAAGAATTGCAGAATATTGAACTCATTCATTATAAATAATTAACAAATGAAATTTAAAAAACTGGTGGCACTCTTCCTAAGAAATTTTTCATAACATTTATCAAAGTTATCAAATCAAAAGTTTTTACACAAGACCAAGAGCAAGTTTAAAAAATTATTTTAACATTATAACTTTATTAATATTTATTTGAGTCATTTAAATAAGAAAACCTTTGGTTTGTCAAAGTTTTTACTAACGCTCCTTATGTTTATGTGTAATGCCTTATTTTCATCAGGTTGAATTTTTAAAATGCTGCAAAATATTTACATTGAAATCTTTCAAAACATTTTTGACAAAAAAACTGCTATCACAGTTTAGGAGAGAGATGGGGTAATATATGATCGTTTGTTACAGGAGGGAAGGGGTAAAGAATTGAAAAATATAGGGTGACGTGCTTTATGGATGATCCATAATTGCATTTACAAAGGATTTGTTTTAATAAAACAAAAATAAAAAAGATTCTAACTGATTTCTTTTTCTTTCGGTTTTTCAAGGTTAGTTAATATTTAGTAGTTTCAAGGATCTATTTAATATTTTATGAAACTACTACATAATCCATATAAAAAGAAACCCTGAGAGAGCAAACAAATCTAAATACAAATATTTATATAATTCTTATTTTTATTTATTTATGTTTATTTATGTCAACTAAAATAATATAATAAAAAAATAAAAAATAAATATAAATAATTTTAATTAACATTAAAATAAAATAAATTTTTTTTCTTCTTAATTCTCCTAATATGAAAAGTTTCAGTCAGAACTTTGTCATACCAGCGCAATAAAATAAGAATTTCTTAATGATATAATTCATTTTGTAATTTAAATGTAAAAAAGTAACATTTAATATTTCTTCGCATATATTATTAAAAAACTTATTTTCTTAAAATATATTTTATAAAGTATAAATCTGACCTAAAATAATTTGAATATGTTAGCTCCATTTTAACGCAATTCAATTCCAATTATAGAAATAAATTTATTGTTAAAATAACATTTAACAATGATACCTTTTTTATTATGAGACAATGAGAAAAACCGTAACTTTCGAAGGCATAAAAATAACATAAATTAATTTTAGTATATTTTAAATAAACTTTTATTTGTCTACATCAATATTAATTTGCTAAAAGTTGACAAAAAAGAGAATAAAATTTGACTACTTATTCATTTTCTGCAGTGGAATTGCCCATATATATAAATATATATCAGACCTGGGATTTAGGGTCGGCATTCGACAATGCCAACCTAAAAGTGTTTGAGGTTGGCAAAAAACTATGTTTTATGGTAAGACCTTAATATTAATTTTTTTTTGCTCTAAAAGACTGAGGTCGACAAACATTGCCGACCTCATTTTTCTAATTCCCAGGGTTGATATATATATATATATATATATATATATATATATATATATATAATATTCATTAATAAAAAAAGAATTAGTATATTAGAATTATTAAAGAATTATACAAGCTATTTTATTATTTCCAAAAAGCAAAAAAATCATAAAACAGCAAAACATAAGGTTACAAATTTTTTACAATGACAAAAAAAAATGACTTCATTAATTATTTTTTTTGATCGATTCTTATTCTCCTACAACAACAAATTAACACTTTTTTTATTTTCACTAAATCCAACATTGGTTTTTACAAATATTTACATAAATTTATATTGGAAAACAACCATCAAGTATACCATAAAAATTGTCATTAAAAAACACCTTAACATATTAACAAATTTGATAATTAAGAACAATGTGAATCAAACACCACGTAACTGCCACAAAATGTTTCAGAGCTTTCTACAGTGTAACTATGCAATTGATATTATCAAAAAAAAAGTAAATAAATAAATTTTTAATTTAAAAAATATTTCAGTTTTTAAAATTACGGTAAAAATTTTTAAACTGTTTAAACAGTTTTGAAATATTAATTAGGTTTTTAAATTTAATTAGATTTTTCTTAATTAAATAGGTTTATTATTATTACTATTAATTACTTTGTTTATATTATATGTTTATTATATTATTATTAAATAATTATATTAATTAAATAGGTATTTAAAACAAATTTAAATGGAGCAAAATTATTAATCCCAAAATCTTTCTGTCAGATAAAATGAAAAATGACAAGGGTATAGAGAAATGTACCTAGGCTTGGAACTGAGGAATCCAGTAAATAATATGTATTAGAAAAAAAAAGAAAGAAATCAAATGTTCCTAAATGGTCTACAAGATTCATTAAAGGAGCTACTTTGGAAAAGATGAAGAGAAACTAGCTACCCCTGAGGAAGCACATCCAACATAACCTGTACCTAAGAGACATATTTCCAAAGATGGCGCAAAAACATTTAACTGCTTGTCCGCTTGTAAATAAACCATTCAGGCTAGCCTTTTTTTTCTCATCAAAATAAGTGAGAATTTTTAACAATATATATAAGAAACATCAAAAAATATATATGGCTAACATCAAATAAAATGTCTGTAATGTATTTATAATCATTCCAACCTGGGGAGAATGTTTGAAGAATATTTATACAATATTATGCAAAAAATGCTTTTCGTTTAGATTATCATTCATTGAAGATAGTCTTTGTTGAGAATTTGGTTGTATTCTCTCTCAAGTTTTGGTTCTATGGAGAAGGACAGGCTTCAGGGTCATTTCTGAGAACAACCTGAAAGTTGAGAATTATGTAAAAAAGTATAAAAAAGTAAAAAAAATCTGAGTACAAAGTGGGAGTAGGTTGGGTACTAATAAAAATAGGTTATAATAGTACTAATAAAAAATTAAAGATATCTTTAGAAGGTAACATGAATAAAGAAGTGCCTAAAAAAAAAAAAAAATTAATATTAAAGTCAAGATTAAAGATATAGCAATAACACAAACTCTTGTGAATCAAAAAGTAAACTTTGACGAACAAATTTTCCCTATTGGGCACTTATGTGTTTCTATAAAGTGAACTGAATAAACTTTAGCAGTCCTTTTTCATATTCTAAAAAACCCACTTCAACTTTTTTTAAAAGCTTCCCACAAAATTTAGCAACAAAGTTTTTTTTATAGGACTATTTTGAGTGGGTGATGATTTTGAAATTCTTCACAGAACTCTGCAGTTTAATAAACGCATAATGATATTGGACAAGCTAGATGATTTAATTTATATTCAGGACCAGATAGAAAGCCGAAAAATTGTGATAGGAGAACTTAATAGTCATTTTGAGCAGACCAATGTGAGAGCAAAACTACGAGAAATATAGGAAATCTCTTCTGTACAGGCAGAAATAGAAATATCAGCAAGATTTTCAACTGAGTTTTGATAATTGTGAACTTGAGTGTACTGATAAAAGTTTTGATGATGAGGACTTTGAGATAACTCGACCGAAAAAGAAGAAAGTTGCTTAAGGTCAGGTACTCATATTCCTTAGAAATATAATGTCAAAAACTGCTAGAACTGCAATTGGAATGGGAATTTCCAACAATCAAGCAAATGCACTTATAAGTTCTGTTGTTACCAGTGCTGCTAGAAATATTGATGATACTACATTATCCCTCAGCTCCGCTCACAGAATATTGGACAAAATCATATGGAAAGATGCAGCTATTCTGAGAGGAAATATTAGTAAAATGGTTACCAACACTGGTACACCAGCAATTTTACATTTTGATCTGAAAATCATTAAGGATTTTACAAGTGCAACAGATGAGACAAAAGACCATTTGTGTGTCCATATATAAATCAACAATGAGAACCACCTTCTTGGTGTGCCAGGATTGGACCATGAAACAGGAGAGAAAGAATTTTTGGCTAATCGGAAGTTATTTGATTCTTTTTAAATTGGTCGGTTCTTTCATGGGTTATGCTTTGACATTACAGCTTTAAATACTGGTCATTTTAAAGGAGTCTGCACAAGGTTGGGTAAGTTTCATAGCTGGAAATTTCCTATGATGGCTTGCAGACATCATGTAGGTGAAATTCACATCAAGCATTTTCTGATGCTGTGGCATTTCAAAAAACTGTTGGTCCTCAGAACCCATTGTTTAAATCACTGAAGCAGTACTGGCAAGAAGTTGATAGGAATTAAATTAAGGAGTTAGTCAAACTCAACCACCAAAGGTTCAGTAAAAGTTCAGTTAAACTTATCCAAGACAATTTTGAGCACGTCAAGAGAAAACGAAAGCTGTAGGACCTACTCCAACTGAAAAATGCTTGGAAAAAACCAGGAAAATAGAAAAAAA